AAAGAAATCCCGCTTTTATATGCTCAATGTATAGTATATCTATCGATGATTCATCTGTAGAAAAATGAACTGTCTAACTGCTTCTAACGACTAGAAAAACGTTTAAAAGAAATGTTGAATTTTGTGCAAGTTTTTTTGCAAACACCTGTAATATAGAACAATGAATAGAATGAACAAAAAAATAATAAAAATGTTAACATTTGAATAAATACATAATAAAAATAGAAGAAATTTTAAAATAGTTGGGAACAGTAAAGTAGCTTTTTTCTTTTGAAATTCATATTCATTTGAAAAAAAACAAGACCAATCAAATCTTCGTATTATTTAGTTTCTTGAATATTTATTTGTAAAATATTTGAAAAGAAATTAAAACAAAAGATTCGATCATTGATACATGGGTAATGTTTTTTTTCTATAATGTAATATATTCGATATGATAGATTCTTCAGATAGCGAGATTAAAGCTATCATCTGAAAAGAAAATAGTTCGAACTCCATGAAGATCATGAACAGTTATGGTTCCCTTATTGAATATGACTAAGCATTTTACATCTTTCATTTTTTGGTAGAAACAAAAATATTCTTATAATGTCTAAACGATTAAAGTTGAATAAGAATATAAATATCAAAAAAAAAAGATTTTGATCCTGTTTCTAATGCAAAAGGTGAAGGAAACCAGACAGACTAATAAAAATCTTACATAAGTTGCGCGAGAGAAGATATTTAACTTTTCATAAAATTAGTTGATCGACTGATAGTTGATGTTTCGAAATGTCGTGTCACATATTGAGGCCGAAAATAACGTTTTTGAGGTGCATGAATAGAGGCCACAATAGATTAGCTTAAGTTATTAAAAGTTTAGCTCACTCTCTGTAATACTGAATACATGAAATTTTTATTAATCTTCTGTTTCAGATGTTATAAGCATATTTTATTTTTTCAAAACAAAATGTAAGACGTAAAATATTTAGTCATGATCAATAAAGCCACCATAACTTTTCATGATGTCGATGTGATTATAGCTTTAATCTTTCAACTTTTGAATCACCCTTTAGTAGGGAATTCCACTACAAGTACTTATATCGAAGGAAAATAATGGAGACAATTAAGTTTTCTACAAACTGTAAAAGAATCAATGAGCTATGAAAGAAACACCATTATTCTCGATGAAAATTGATAGTAATATTCATAGAAATATGTCACTTACTCAATGTCGACATCGACTCAGAACATATGATTATTTTGAGGACTGTCTAACATATCGTTGTCGCTCACAATTAAATCCTATCGTTCGACTTCGATACTCGAGAACTCATTCGAAGAAGAAATCAATTTATCACTAATGATGAAATAAAGCATTGATCAATCATATAAATGAAGACTATCAGTGAATTTTTTAGCGATTGAAATGAATTAGGTCATGATAGAAAGATGAAAGGTTTAAACTTTGGATATAAGATGCTCACAAAATATACAAATATAACCAGAGATAATTTTTGTTTGATCGTTTCCTTCATCAATTATTTGAATTCCTTTACTATCATCTATCGATTTATTTCTTAATGACATTTGAGGCATTTGAAGTATTTTAATATGGTAGAACATTGAAACTGAAAAAAAAGACCCGATAGAACAAATGAAAAGAAAACTTTAAAGAATCGATGTGAAAATGGTGAAAACTGGTTGATTAGTCATCAAAAATGAGTGTAAACAGACAAGATGTGTTTAAAATTGATTCGTGTTAAACAATGGTTAATATGTTTTTGGTGACTAATCAACTCTTTTCTGACGTGTAAATATTGAAATGTGTAAACACCTTTTTTTTTAATCCTTACTCAGGTTATAAAATGTTCCTTATTCAAAGGCACGTTACGCCCACACCCACACCCTCAAAATTTATTGATAGAAAACAGATGTTTAGAATCAGAAGAAAGTTTTTCATTCCTTTACATGTCTATCCTGATAGCTTGAGCAAATCATGTGAAACTTTCATTTGAAAATTAGAATACCTGAACTTCATCTTGTTGACAAAGTTCACTGGAAAGTTATGATTTGGTTGAACATGGAGTCCGATAATCAATAAAATTTCATTACATTCATGACCTCTAAATCAAAAATACAATTATGGTATTTAATTCATGACAATGTTCATTTCTTCATTGTCATGTAGTTTCTTTTAATGTTTTACACTGGAGAGGTGGTTAATTTTCGTTCGCTCTCTATTGGACACTAGTGTAGGTTTGATCATTATCGTAAATATAGTCAAATATCACATTTTATCTCATAAACATAATTTTATTGAACTTGTCTATTGATAATTGGAACGAAAATGAATTGAAATGGTTGAACATGGTAAAAAGAAAAAGACCTATTCAATTCATTTCATTTTTGATTTCAATGAAGTTAAACAAATGTTTTTTTGATTTGTTTGTCTTATATGAAATCCTACATTCCGACTACACATTATACATTCTATACTATTTATATAGATCAGAAGACAAACAACGTAACTCTATCATGAATTTAAGGGAAAGATCGTTCAACCAGCGGATAGGTATAGATATCTATTCAAAATAAGAGTTGGATTTTGACATTTATATGTGAATAGATATTTTTATAAATATATGTCTCTCTTTAATGAGAAGAGTTTAGACTCAGTGTCATCTCTCATTAGAGTCATTGAACGTCGAACAGGAAATGCCTCTATATCATTTGGTTTTTCGACTTTGTTTTAGTATTGAGAAAATAGATTGTTTTAAACTTCAACCACAAAATCATATGGAACTTTGAAAAATGAGTTGGTGTATTTCGCCGATTTTTTTTTCATCCTAGCTATATGTTAGACCAAATTGAATAGTATATTTGACATCAGTATAAAAAATACGTCAAGTCAGAGATATTACATTACTGATATCGACTGTGTTATTTATTTTACTTTGATATTGAACGATAATCAATGTTGATTAAGTATAATCGATTTTGGATGATAATTTACATGTTATATAATATATATATATTCTTTGTATAGTCCGTCGAACTTTATATATTCAGAAAAAAACCTCAAAATAGTTCGATGAATTTCTTAAACATAGAATAACTTTTATCGCATATCTTTACATGTTACTAAACGTTTGATTTTATTTGAATTATTCTTGAGATCTGCGTTACTTGAAATTTAATTCAATGAGTTTTTGGTTATGTCAATCTTCTTATCATTTTGTAACAAATGACTTATTATAGTTGCATTTTGTTAACATAAAAACCTATATTAAATTTTTATAAGATGGTAACAAGCCAGTCCGACAAGACTTTAGAAAAACGTGTATTTTTTTGAACAAATTTTAATATCTTCAAAAATCTCTCGTTTTTGCTCGTTCTTTTCAAAGCAATTCAACGCATATAGACGCAGAATCTTTAGTTCAATTACCTATATTCATACAGAAACACCTGATGGGAAACTTATTATTTATAAACTGTCGGACTACTTTTTTTTGTTTTTACTCATATTCGAGTTGATGCCTGCTTCTTCTTCTATTTGTTCACTTTGTTTACATATTATTTTTCTCAAAGTTCAAAATATGATTTCTATGTTGTTTTAAATGAAGGTAAATACAAGTTTGTAAGGAATTCAATTATGCACCTATCAAAAACAAATTGTGACTATCTAATTAAGATCCGTACGTTCTAAATTACGTATAAAATCTACATATCCATATGTTATTCTATGGAGAGCGTCGATTGGATTAATACTTCTCTTCTTAGCATTTCAAAATTATAAGTCACTAGCGGAAGTACCCGACGTTGCTCGGAAAAATTCAGTCTTAATATATGTAAGCAAAACTCCTATTGCACTCGAGAACATGTCAGTAAACCTAAACAGTAGAGAGTAGACACGCATAAAACCTTGTTTTTGGTTCCGGTCCTGGTTATGATTTTTGGACTTATTTTGAGTCCCAGCCACGGCTACTCTCGCTCTCGACAGATATGAAATATTGACATGGAAAAATTGATCAGAAGTGAAGGATTCTTCGTCCTTACACGTCTAGATCAAGAAGAACTTGATGAAGTTCCTGGTTCCAGAGCTGTATAATTATGTCTCTAGTGAGAAACCCACATGGCCAATCTATTCTTCGACAGCGTTGCAAGAAAAATCCGTTTTGATCGAAACTAATCATAACGATATTTAACAACCTAAGGAGTCAATATCTATGACGCACAAATTTCCAGCGTCATAGGCTATTTATTGGAAATCCCTCTCTCACACGACCTCCAGGGATCAACTTCTCCAAAAGCTGGACTTGTGTATGACATGGGACACCCTTGACATTCGTTTTCCCAAAAACTCGGTTCCTATTGGTTTCGGGCCAACCAATCAGATTTGAAAACCTGCAGTTCCATGTTTTTCTATGTGCTCATGAAGTACTACTCAATAGTACTTCCATAGTATCGAATATTGCAATCTGATTGGTCAATAACATAGGCATACTTTTTGTGAGCGAAGGGCCAATTCTTTTTCAGTTTGATTGCATTCGCTCGTACAGTGTGGAAATGCATAAAGAACAGACAGACAGATAAACATTCTTCTTTGTATATAAGAAGATCAAATTCTATAGATCCGTCTGAATTGTCCTATAATGTGAAAAACACCCTCAAAGTTCTCCAACAATAGGGATTCCATTTTTCTTAAGATTTTCTCAGTTTAGGAGTTTTACATAGTTCTTCTTGTGTGATGTTCATATAAATGATCATCCGACAAAAAGATTCTGTATTCTCGCAATTCCGAATAAAATCCTCAGATCTCTATGTTTTTCTATCAAAAGCTTTCATGGAATTAGCATTACTCTTTCTTAGAGGACCTTCTTACAGCAATCTCAAGGTGTTGTTTTTATGATCAAAAAGATTTTGGCAAAAACTAAAAGTGATATAGATGTAAGAATCGTTACCAAATCCTTTTTTCTCATAGAAAACTGGGAAAAGACTTCTGAATTTTTATCTGTAGAATGAGCATTCTCAAATACGAATGTCGTATTTGTAGTACTTACTCCCACGAGAGACGAGCTCTCTTCGATAACGACAATTCATTTTGTTTTTCGTTCATTGTAGTAATTCCCAATATTCCAGTTGATGCCCGTTGGGCACAGAATGGAGTGACTGTTGCTGGAGGTCATGGAAAAGGCAATGCCACCAATCAACTCAACCACCCTTTGGGTCTCTTCGTCGATGATGATCAAACGATAGTCATTGCTGACTTCGACAATCATCGTATCATCCAATGCAAGATGGGTAATATGAACGGACAAGTAGTAGCTGGTGGCCATGGCAAAGGAAATCGATTGGATCAATTGTATGGTCCAACCGATGTGTTGATCGACAAAGAGACGGATAGTCTCATTATTTGTGATCATAGAAATCGACGAGTCGTTCGATGGTCTCGTCGTAGTGGTACAACTCAAGGAGAAATCCTCATCAACAACATCCGGTGTTATGCATTGGCCATGGATGATCAGAGATATCTCTACATCTCTGACAACGGAAACCATGAAGTAAAACGATATCAAGCAGGAGACAAGAATGGAACTATTGTGGCTGGTGGCAATGGCAAAGGTGCTGGTCTCAATCAACTCAATGAGCAGACCTACATCTTTGTCGATCAACAACAAAATGTCTATGTGACAGACCAGGGAAATCATCGTGTAATGAAATGGAATAAAGGTGCAAAAGAAGGAATTCGCGTCGCTGGAGGTCCACGCTATGGGGAGTTTCTGCAACGATTGTTGTATCCTCAAGGACTGTTCGTCGATACATTGGGTGCCATCTATGTGGCAGACTTTGGGAATCATCGAGTGATGTGTTGGTCTAGAGGAGAGATACGAGGCGCTGTCATTGTGGGTGGAAATGGTAAAGGAAAAGGAGCAAATCAGTTCAACTATCCCATACGTTTGTCCTTCGATCGACATGGCAATCTCTATGTCGTCGATGCGTTCAACCATCGTGTTCAACGATTTTCAATCGAATAGACTCAAAACGATGCATTATTTTTTTTCTTCTCCTTTCCTTTCAAATAAATCGCATTGAATTGATGAAATGAATGGCTTATTCTATTCGCGCGCGCGCGACCAGGAACCATCCTGATGGAGCCGCGGCGAGCGTAACGCTCATGCACGCACAGGACAGACTCATATCATTCATACCCTCCCCACGAGAGATATGTCAATGAGTCTGAATAAGCCTGGTCGTGTGCCACGGACACCAAGACAGTTCCTGGCCGGGCTTTTAGGGACTGCTCGGAAGTCCTTCATAAAAGACGAAATTCTGACCCTCAACGGACAGAACTCACCCTTCTCAATCTGTCTCTTCCTTATTCTCATCTCAAAAAAAAAAAAGTACTCACTACGTTTAACGTTGAATGATGATGTTGTTGATGATGATAACGCTATGATATTGAGGACTAAAAAGAAAAGAAAAAAAATTAAATTAATGTTATATAATGAAAAAGAATCAGTTCACTTACCCCCACTATTATGTTTTTTCTTCACTGTTCAGTGTCTAAAATTAAAATAGCCAATGCATAAAAAAGATCGTAGGAGGACTTACTACTCTCCATATGATCTTAAAAAAAGAAAAAAAATGATACCTACGTTTTATTTTATTGTTCGATGTTGATTTTGAATAATTTTGTATTGCCGAAGCCAACCTAAAGTATAAAACAAAATAATTATTATTTGATTCAAATAATTGAATGACTTCTTCGAAGAAAATCATTCACTTTTATACCCCTCAAAAATTGTTTTTTTTCTTGAGCGAGAAAATATTCATTATTTTTCTTCTCGTCGGAAAATAATCAGACGTCAAGTTTGATTAAGCTTTAATCTAGACATACACATACATTGAGATATATTCGATCACAAATATCTCAATGTATGGATGTGGATATAGTTTAATTGACATACACACTAGTTATGAAATGTTATCATTGATCATCAGTGACAACATGAACGTTGTCGTATGGACGAGAAAAGGAAAAAAGACAATACGTCTCTTGACCTATTTCTTTTTTCTTTTCTCTGTCTCACATGTTCTGCTGTCGCGTCTTATCAGAGCACAAGAAAGAAAGAATGAAAGAATGAAAGAATGAAAGAAAAACAATGAGATGGCTCACATGGTTAATCGTGAGTACAAAAGAGGCAAACATACACGCACACACAAAATCATAGCATATTCAACAAAGAATGACAAATATGAAAGTTTATTCATTTTTATAATGATTGCCAAGACAAATAATTCTGATGGACCCAAACAAAAATTTTAACGTAATACATCACTCATAGTCTAATAGAAATTTCTCACTTCTGGTATTTTGTATTACTATTATAAGACTAAAGAAGGGTGGGTGTGGGTGTGGGTGTGGGTGTGGGTGTGGGTGTGGGTGTGGGTGTCGGTGTGGGTGTGGGTGAGGGTGTGGGTGTGGGTGTGGGTGTGGGTGTGGGTGTGGGTCTGGGTGTGGGTGTGGGTGTGGATATTCATGAACTTAGCCTGACATCCACACATTCACACTCACCAACATCAACACCCACAACACCCACACCTACACCCACACCCACACCCACACCCACACCCCACACCCCACACCCACCCACACCCACCCACACCCACCCACACCCACCCACACCCACACCCACCCA